TCCTGGGACTCCGGGATCATGACCTGAGCCAAAGGCAGACACTTACTGACTGAGCCACCCAGGTGCCCCAACCTTAAACCTTTTAAAGACTACAGGCCAGTTATTTGCAGGCTGTCCCGCAGTTTGTATTTATCTGAGGTTTCCTCACATTTCCATTCAGGTCATGCATCTTGGACAGGAATCTCCCAGAATTGATGCTGTGTCCTTCTAATCACATTCTAGTAAGTGAATCATGATTTTGTTTCATTATTGGTGATATTAACACTGATCACTTGATTAGGGTTCTCCCCCCACCCCTCCACCTGCTCAAGGGTGTCTGTTTATAGCATTGTCCACAACATCCTGCTGAAGATCCCAGCCAATGAAACAAGGCAAAAAATAAAGAACTAGTATAAGAATTGGAAAGAAAGAAATAAAACTGCCATTATTCTCAGATAGCATGGTTCGGTACATAGAAAACCCAAAAGAATGGTTATGAACTATTAGAATTAAGAAATGAATTTGGCAAGACAGCTGCATATAATGCTAGTATTAATTGTATTTCAACTAGAAATTGTTGAAATTGTATTTCAACTATATTTCAATGTAGCAGAAACTAATAGAACATAGGATTTTTTTTTAGCTTTTGATGCTTTTTTAGATTTTGATGTTTTACAACAAATTTTGATGTTTACAAAAACTATCATATACCTAGAATAGGTCTAGTGAAAGATGTATAAGACCTCTACACAAAAAACTATAAAACACCAAAAGAAATTAAATAAAATCTAAATAAATATAAGGTTACACCATGTTCAGGATTGGAATACTCAATACTATAAACACATGGATTCTCCAAACTTATCTACAAATCCAATCCAATATAAATCAAAGCATGTGTTCTTTCTTAGATGCAAAATGGACCTAAGATTTATACTAAAATACAAAGGGCAAGAATAACCAAGACAATCTTGAAAAAAGACTGTGAGCCCTTTTTTAAGGCTAATGTCAAGTTTTTAAATGACAGTATGATAATATGCAAGAATAGGCAACTAAACCCATGGAACAGAATAGCTAATCCAGAAGCAGAGCTTCACATATTTGGACACTTATTCTATGAAAAAGGTGGCACTGCAGAGCAGTGGAGAAAGGATGGTCTTTTCCATAAATGATAAACTGCGTCAAATGAATATCCATGCGGGGAAAAAATATATTCTTTTTTTTTTTTTTAAAGATTTTTTATTTATTTATTTGAGAGAGAGAGAGAATGAGAGATAGAGAGCACGAGAGGGAAAAGGGTCAGAGGGAGAAGCAGACTCCCTGCCGAGCAGGGAGCCCGATGTGGGACTCGATCCCGGGACTCCAGGATCGTGACCTGAGCCGAAGGCAGTCGCTTAACCAACTGAGCCACCCAGGCGCCCGAAAAAATATATTCTTAATCCCTGCCTCAGACCATACACAAAAATCTATTCCAGACAGACTGCAAATCCAAATGTGAAAGGTAAAGTAACAAAACTTTTATTTTTTTAAAAAGATTATTTATTTATTTACTTGACAGAGAGAGACACAGTGAGAGAGGGAACGCAAGCAGGGGGAGTGGGAGAGGGAGAAGCAGGCTTCCCGCGGAGCAGGGAGCCCAATGCAGGGCTCGATCCCAGGACCCCGGGATCATGACCTGAGCCGAAGGCAGACGCCTAATGACTGAGCCACCCAGGTGCCCCAAAACAACAAAACTTTTAGAAGAAAATATTCATGATTTGGGGGTGGGCAAATTTCTTAAAAGGACTTAAGTCCTTTTTAAAAGAACATTAACCACATAGAGAAAAGTTCATAAATTACACTATATTAAAATTAAGACCTTCTGTTCACCAAAAGACACCATTATGAGGATGAAAAGGCAATCCACAGAGAGAGGGAACATATTCACCATACATATCTCCCAAGAACTCATATCCAAAAAATATAAAAATCTACAAATCAGTAAAACAGCCCAGTAGAAAAATGTGCAAAACACCTAAACAGACACTTCACAAAAGCAATGATCCAATGGACAATAAAGATATTTTTTAAAGCTCTCAACTGTGTTAGTACTTAGGAAAATGCAATTAAAGCCACAGTGCAATACCACTACTGTGACCCAACAGAATGGCTAAAATTAAAAACACAGACAATACCAAACGTTAATCAGGAATGTAAATTGGTACAACCACTTTGGAAAACTAGTAGAACCTACTTAAGCTGAATGTAAGTTAACCCTATGACCCAGCAATTCCATTTCCATGTATATATTAGCGTATGTGTTCACTTAAAGATAGGTATTATAATGTTAATAGGTGCACCACTTATAATAGCTCAAACTGGAAATTACCCAAATGTTTATCAACAGCAGAATGGATAAATTGGACTATTCACACAACGAAATACTATATAACAACGATCGTAGGTTAACTACATCTATACACAAATACAATGTTAAGCAAGAGACACATAAGGTACAATTTTATCTGCATAAATATAAAATTAAGCAAAACCAATCTATGCAAGATGTGGTTACTGTTGGGGCAAGCATGTCACTGAAAGGACAAGGAGGGGCTTCTAGAATGTGCCAATGTCCTGTTCTTGACCCGGATGTCAGTTAACTTGGGTGTGCTTGGGTTGCATTCTGCTGTGAGTATATCATAATTCAATAAAAAGTTCAAAAAGAATCAATTCTAGGGGGATTATAGAGCTGCATGTGAAAAGAAAAACAATTAAGTCACTAGTAGACAGCAAGAACAAAATGTTTGGAGACACATGTAGACACACAGCCCTCTAACCAGAAAGGAAAAGATGAATTGAATTACATTAAAAATTAGAAACTTCTAGTCATCAAACAATACCACTAAGAGTGGAAAGGCCAATAAGCAGAAAAACTTTTCCTGTCCCAGACCTACATGACCACAGTGAAATCCCCCCCAAAAAGAGGACAAAAGACAGTCAATGGGTAGGGCTTCCTGAACTAAGTTCTTCCTCTGATGACTCCTCTTGAATTGGACCATGTGAAAGCTTGTTCCCATTGCAAAATGAGTGAGGAGGCCACTTTCGTAGCCTTTTGATTTGAATTGCAGTCCAGATTATGACTTGGTGATTTGGGGGATAGGATGTTATCCTAAACAGAACAAAATGGATTACAATCTGTGTTTTGCAGCGTTGGTGATTTGTACAAGGACAAGTCTGTGAATTCTTTTGTATTTAAGCAGTTTTAACAACAACAAAAAAAAGTGCAAAGGCAAGCCACAGAGTGTGCTCACATCCAGAATATATAAAGCAATCCCATAAATCAATAAGAAAAAGGCAGACAATCCAGTAGGAGGTGGGGGGAAATGGACCAGAATCTTGAATGAGCACTTGGCAAAAGATATCCGAATAGACAACATACATGAGAAGGTCCTCAACCTCATTACTTATTAGAGAAAAGCTAATCAAAACAACAGTGCAATATCACTACACAGCCACCAGAATTTCCCATTTTTTTAATATTATTATTATCATTAATTGAGAGAGAGAGAGCACACGCACGTGCACATGGAAGAGCAGAGGGAGAGAGAGATAATCCCAGGCAGGCTCCATGCGGAGTCCACTACCTGGAGATCATGACCTGAGGGGAAATCAGAGTCCCATGCTTAACTGACTGAGCCACCCAGGCTCCCCTGAATCACCACAATTATTACTGACAATACCAATGAAGCTGAGGTTGAAAGCATGGAAACCCTTAACCCACAGCTACAGTATGTATATTATTTCAGCCTCTTGGCCTGTTAGGCATTTTTACCATACCCTATGTCCCAGAAGTTCTACTTCTGGAGAAACTCAGGCACGTGTGCATTGGATCCATGTACAGGAAAATGCATAGCAGCATTACTTAGAATAGCCCCAAAAGGAAACAACGCTAATGTCCATCAACAACAGAATGGCTAAGTTATGGTGTAAGATATACAATGGCATTCTATACAGCCGCGAAAGTAAACAAACCATTGCTGCACGAAAACTGGATGGTTCCAGTCATAATACAAAACCAAAGAAACCGGGCAGGAAAGCACACTGCATGATTCTATTTGTATCAAAAGCAAGCAAAAGTTGGGGAGCCTAGGTGGCTCAGTCGGCTAAGGGTCTGCCTTCCACTGGGGTCATGATTCCAGGGTCCTGAGATCCAGCCCATGTTGGGCTCCTTACTCGGCAGAAGTCGGCTTCTCCCTCACTCTCTGCCCCTAACCCCACCCCCCTTGTGCTTTCTCTCTCTCAAATAAATAAAATCTTAAAAAACAAACAAACAAAAACAAGCAAAACTAATCTATGGTGTTCGATTCCTGGTTGCCTTGGGAAGGCGGGGAGGCTTTCAGAAAAGTGTTCGTTTTCTGGACCGGGAGGCAGCAACGCAGGTGTTCTCACTCTGTAGCTATTAGTCACGTTGCAAATTCCTGGTCTGCGCACTTTTCTTTATATCATGCTTCCATTAAATATTTAAAGGTCTGGAGCTCACTGGCCTAACAGAAAACTGAACCTGGCGCAGAGCCGGGTCTGGCGCGCGGGGCGGTAGGGCGATCCCAGTGAAGTGGCCCTGTGATTGACCTTGCCCTCGTTCTCACGTGGTAGCCCGGGGGGCCAAGGCACCCGCCCGGAATGGGAACCTGAAGTCCTGGACCCTTCACTGGATCCCACGGGTGCCCGCCCCTCCTGGGTGGAGTGAGGACAGACACAGCGTCTCCTCCCACCTCAAGCTGCAACGATGCATGGAGATAGTTCCACTCGGGTGCCTTCACATTTTGCTTAACTTGCGGACGCAAACATCTGGAATCAGGGGCCCTCCTCCAGATACGCCCCAAGGAAGAACCCAGAGCCTGAGACAAGCTCAGCGCTCGCCCGAACCTCCGTAGAGAACGAGGTCGGGGGCGTGGCTCTTTGATTGCTTCGGCCTGGACGGGGAGCCGCGCGCGCATGCGCCGGCTGCGATTGGTGTTGCCTGGCGGCGGGGCGCGGGGGACGCCGGGAAGTCTGGCGGGCGGGAGGCGGCGGGAATAGCCGGCGGGCCGTGGTACCGGCAGCGGGAGGCGGCAGGATGGTGAAACTGACGGCAGAATTGATCGAGCAGGCGGCTCAGTACACCAACGCCGTGCGGGACCGCGAGCTGGACCTCCGGGGTAAGTCTAGGGGGGTGGGCGGGCCTCCCCGCGCAGCCGGGTGGTTCGCACCCCGCCGCGTGCGCGGAGGGCCGGCGCTTGGCCAGCAGGCCTGCATTGTGAGCGCCAGGCCGGGCGGCGCTAGCACCGCCGGGGGCTGAGTCTTGCCGTTGCAGCCCAAAAACCATCCCTAGGCCCTTGTGAGGCTTCAGTTACCCCCGCTTCTGCTCACTCGCCCAGCCGATTGATTGATCGCTTCCGGATCCGCACCCGTGGGCCTCAGCTAGGCCTTGCTTGGCGTATTTCGCAGACTGAACTGTTTGAGAGCTGGGAAAATGTAATCCTAGTGCTCAGCGGCTCGTTGGTTCTCAGTAAATACGTCGAACTGTTAATGTGGGAGTATAGCTAGGATACGTGTTAATTACCTATAATTTGCGAGGGAGGAAATGAAGTCTGAGAACAAAAGCGATTGTTTCCGCAAGATTTCTTTGTTATTAGCGTCAGTTGTCTTATATGTCCCTTTTAGCAAAACATTTTAGGGTCATCTGGGTGGCTCAGTCGTTTAAGCGTCTGCCTTCCGCTTAGGTCGTGATCCCGGGGTCCTGGGATTGAGCCCCAAATCGGGCTCCCTTCTTAGCGGGGAGTCTGCTGCTCGCGCGCTCTCTCTGCGTGCGCTCCCCCTGCGTGCGCTCCCCCTGCTTATGGGCTCTCTTTCTCAAATAAATCTTAAAAAGAAATTTCTTTTTAAAGAGGCTTGCACTACGAGTGCCCTGTGTAAGGTGGTGGAAGCTCTGAACTATTCAGATTCATGTAGCCATTTAAACCTTAGGCTTGCGAAGAAATTGGGAGTGCAGCTGTCTAATCAGCATTTCAAGGAAATGACTTTAGGAAGGATATGAAGAGCAGTTTTTCTGGGAATAAGACAATACAATTTAGGCCTGAGATTTGGCTCCACAGGGACAACACTGGCTGAGGTGCAGCACTAGTTCGGGCTCTGCTTTTGGTTTGGATTCCTTGCTGACGAAGCCCAGTGCTTTTATTTTGTTGAAATTAAGTTTAGAGAAAAGTTCGATTCAGTAGTAACTGACCACTTTCGCTCTCGGCACAGATTGATCTTTGCTGTATCTGAAGTGCATTGAGTGTTGAGGATACTTGTTTTGGTGTAACCCTTGCAGCTCTGAATTATGTACTTTAACCGTGGCTTGGGTTCATTTCTTTCTTCTGCCAGCACCCAGAACAGTAGTTGGGCCCATTTTGACAAATCCGTGAGTATTTGAGTGAATTGTTCACAGGGTGGTTTATTATTGTGTATGAACCATTGACCTTGAAGTCTGAATTGGAGCTGGGGGAGGTGTAGAGGATATCTGATAAGTTCCATGAATCGGGCCTGTGGGAATGCAAAAGAGGTTAAGAACTGTCTTCCATGATGTATGAACAAGACTTGGACACTGACAATAAGCAGCTTACAGTGTAAATTCTCATGCCATTTAACTATTTCTGGGGCTTTGGTTAGAACAGTGTGAGGCACCCTGTAAATACTCTTGCAAATGTTAGCTACCAGTATTACTATTAATAAGTGTCCTCATTACCATAGCCCTTGTCACTGTTGTCATGACCATCTTCTTGTCCACTCCCTAGACTGTAAGCTTCGTGGCAGCTAGGACATGTGACTCTTCTTCCTCATTTTATGTACCAGTTATTTGCACAGTGTCTGGCACAGTGTAGATGCTAGGTAAACACTTTCTGAATAAATGGAAGCTTTGAATCAAATTACTGTGAAGTACTGCTATGGTTTTAATGTACCTTTTAACCATATTAATACTTGTGTGTTTTTTTCCTTCTATTTTACAGGGTATAAAATTCCTGTCATTGAAAATCTAGGTGCTACCTTAGACCAGTTTGATGCTATTGATTTTTCTGACAATGAAATCAGGAAACTGGATGGTTTTCCTTTGTTGAGAAGACTGAAAACATTATTAGTGAACAACAATAGAATATGGTAAGTGTCTGTTAGTGGAAAGTAATTTTTTTCCCCTAGAGTAATGTTGCAGTGAACCCTGAAGAAGCCATAGTACTTAACTGCCAGTTGAGCCTACATATTTCTTTTTTTTTTTAAGATTCTACGTATTTATTCATGAGAGACAGAGGGAGGGAGAGAGAGAGAGAGGCAGAGGGAGAAGCAGGCTCCCAAGGAGCAGGGAGCCCGATGCGGGACTCGATCCCAGGACTCCAGGATCGTGACCTGAGCCAAAGGCAGACGCTGAACCATCTGAGCCACCCAGGCGCCCGAGCCTACATATTTCTTAAATGAGAAACAAGCTGCACTTTTCCCATATAGGTCCAGAGATTAACTTGGTATTGGTGTCATTTTATTTGCATCTATTCAGAAATACTTACATATTCATGGTAATAGATATTTAAATTACAAACATGCCGTTTTTTACATATTTTGGCTTCTAAAACAATAATTGTAATTATCAGAGGGATTATATTAAATAGATAGGTAAAGTTCAATTATTTATGTGTGTGTGTGTGTGTGTGTGTGTATGTGTATGTTTGAAGATTTATTTATCTGAGAGAGAGAGAGCGCATACCTGAACATGAGAGCAGGGAGAGGGAGAAAAATCCTCAAAGTGTGAAGCCCCATGCAGGACTCTATTCCTGAGATCATGACCTGAGCCAAAATCAAGAGTCAAACACTTAACTGGCTGAACCACCCAGGTGCCCCCAACAATTATATTTTTGACTGAGTGTCTCTACCTCATATCCTCTGCCATTTGTTTTTCTTTACAACTGATTTTTGAATATTACTTACTGAAGTTGGAGTTTTCTTTAACCCTTTTTCATCACCTCTGAGTAAATTTTATCAAAAAATGTTATTGAAGGTCTACAGACAATGTCTTTAGTACTAGGTAGTGGCTTGCCTTTTTTTTTTTTAAGATTTTATTTATTTATTTGACAGAGAGACACAGCAAGAGAGGGAACACAAGCAGGGGGAGTGGGAGAGGGAGAAGCAGGCTTCCCGAGGAGCAGGGAGTCTGATGCGGGGCTTGATCCCGGGACCCTGGGATCATGACCGGAGCCGAAGGCAGTCACTTAAGCAACTGAGCCATCCAGATGCCTTGGTAGTGGCTTGCTTTTTAAAAAGATATATTTATTTATTTTAGAGAGAGAGAGCGTGCAACTCAGATGCAAGTTGGGGGAGGGCAGAGGGAGAGAGAGAATCTCTTTTTTAGAATTCCTGCTTTTTGAGGGCAGGGATTTTTTTTTTTTTAAGATTTTTTATTTTTTT